CCGCCAAATCCCAGCCCCGCCCCCTCCCCAGATTCCCGCGGGATCCTCCCCAAATCCCCCAAATTCCCATTTTCTTCCCCCAAATTCCCGATTTTTCCTGATTTTCCCTCAAAATTCCCAATTTCCCCCCCAAATTCCCATTTTCTTCCCCCAAATTCCCATTTTTTCCTCCCAAAACTCCCAACTTTCCCTTCAAAAATCCCAATTTTCCCCAAGAATTCCCAATTTACCCCTAAATTCCCATTTTTTTTCCCTCTGAAAATCCCAGTTATCCCCAAAAAATTCCCCTAAATTCCCATTCTTTTCCCCCAAGTCCCGTTTTTTCCTCCAAAATCCGTTTTTTTTCTCCCAAAATTCCCAATTTTTTTCCCCCCAAATTCCCATTTTTCCCCTCCCAAATTCCTGATTTTCTCCCCCAAATTCCCAATTTTCCCCTCCAAAATCCCATTTTTTTCCCCCCAAAATCCCATTTTCCCCCCCAAATTTCCCAATTTTTCCCGTTTTTCCCCCAGGTATTCCCGATTTCCCCCCCAAATTCCCAATTTTCTCCCTTAAATTCCCATTTTTCCCTCCCAAATTCCCATTTTTCCCCCAAAATTCCCGATTTCCCCTCCAAAATCCCATTTTTTTTCCCCCAAAATCCCATTTTTCCCCCCAAAATCCAATTTTTTTCCCCCAAATTTCCTGATTTTTCCCGTTTTCCCCTGGAATTCCCGATTTTCCCCCAAAATCCCATTTTTTCCCCCCAAAATCCCATTTTTCCCCCAAAATCCCATTTTTTTCCCCCAAAAATCCCATTTTATTCCCAAAAATCCCATTTTTTCTCCGAAAAATTCCATTTTTTTTCCCAAAAATCCCAATTTTTCCTCTAAAAATCCCATTTTTTCTCCGAAAAATCCCATTTTTTCTCCCCAAAATTCCCATTTTCCCCCCCCAGGCTGTTCCCTCGGCGCTGCAGCCGCTGCCGGGGGGCTCTGGGCGGCTCCGAGCGCATCCAGAAGGTTCTGGAATTCCTTTTCCACCGGCGCTGCCCCCAAATCCCCCTTTTATCCCCCAAATTCCCATTTCTCCCTCCCCAAATCCCCTGATTTTCCCCAAAAAACCCCAATTTTCCCC